CCGCAGGACATCGAGTGCCTGGCCAGCGACGGCATGCTGCTGGTGAGCTGCTGCCTGGCGGGCCACGTCTGCGTGTGGGACGCACAGACCGGAGACTGCCTCACGCGCATCCCGCGCCAGGGGTAGGTGCCGCGCGGGGGCGGGGTGGGGGTCGTCCCCGCCCCCTTCCCTGTCCCACCTACACCCCACCCTCCCGACCCTCCCGACCCTCGCAGGCAGCGCCGGGACAGTGGTGTTGGCAGCGTGTTTGAGGCCCAGGAAAGCTGGGAGCGGCTGTCCGATGGTGGGAAGACTGGCCCAGAGGAGCCCGGTGACAGCCCTCCGCTGCGACACCGCCCTCGGGGTCCCCCGCCGTCTTCCCTTTTCGGGGACCAGCCGGACCTCAACTGCTTAATAGACACCAACTTCTCTGCGCAGCCGCAGCTCTCAGAGCTCACTCAGCCTGAGCCGCGGCACCGCGCGGGCTGTGGCCGCGCTCGGGACTCCCCGGGCTACGACTTCAGCCGCCTGGTGCAGCGAGTGTACCAGGAGGAGGGGCTGGCAGCCGGCCACGCGCCCGCCCTGCGCCCTCCGTCCCCTGGACCTGCGCTGCCCCAGGCCCCTGTGGACGAGGGCGGCTCTCCCGAGAAGGGCGCCCCATCGCTGGCCTGGGCCCCCAGTGCAGACGGTTCCATCTGGAGCCTGGAGCTGCAGGGCAACCTCATCGTGGTGGGGCGGAGCAGTGGCCGGCTGGAGGTGCGCAGGGCGGTCCTGCCGGGCGGGGGGCCGGCCTCCAGCCCCGGGTGTTCACCCTCTGGGCTTGCAGGTGTGGGACGCCATCGAGGGTGTGTTGTGCTGCAGCAGCGAGGAGGTCTCTTCTGGCATCACAGCCCTGGTCTTCCTGGACAAGAGGTGAGGGTGGCTCTGAGTTTGCGCTCATCCCCACACTCACACCCGCGTCTGGGCCCTGCCCCACACCTGTGATCTGAGGCAGTTCACCTGAGCGGGTGGGTCACTACAAGCGTGCTATGGGTGTCAGGTGCTTAAAACAGGGCCTGGCCCACTTGAGCTCCCAGCTCTGAGCCCCTGGCCCAGTCCACCCTCTGCAGTCCCAGTCTCTTACAGCTTGTCACTTCTGCTCTTCTGGGTAGCTCAGCGGTCTCAGGGCTTTCTTGTTAAACCTTTTCTTCCTGAACTCCCTTCTCTCCCTCCCTCCTCTCATGCGTGCCCCTTAGCCATGGGCATTCCCAGGGCTGTCTGCACATGCACTCCCAGGGGCATCTCAGCCACTCAGACTTGGGCTCTACCCTGAGCAGAGGAATCCTGGTCCCCACCTGCACCCACCAGGTGCTTCTGCCTGGCTGCTGGTGGCACCAGTCTAGCCAGAGCTTTAGCATTTTGGGGGGTGCTGGACATGATCCCTTGCCCTTCATGCCAACATTCCTGCACAGACCTTGGCCTCCAGCCTAGCCAAGCTTCGAGAGTCCCTCCAAGGCGGTGGCAGCCCTCCCTTGCTGTGGGTTTCAGCCTGACTCGTGAGGTGCCCAGTGCCCCTGCCGTACTGTGGCTTGCCCAGGTGTGCTGTGGGGCCTCCACACCTAGGCCAGGGCTGTACATGTTCACTGCCTGTGCTGCAGGAAGACCGAGCCCCACCCAGTTAGGCTTTGGGGCCGCGGGGCGAGTATACCTGTGCCTGCCCCTTAGCCTGTGCCCAGGAGTTCCTGGGAGCCAAGAAACGCCCTTTTCTTTGTGGAAAGAGGAAACGAGTCGGCTGTACAAGTGGAAGCCATGTGTGCCGTGGGGACAGCACCCCCTGCGGCCACACAGCAGCCTGCCCAAGCTCCTGTTCCCCTCCATGAAGGCTTCCCGAGTCCCAGGCTATGTGGGAGCACCTGCACGTGTTTCTGGGTTGGATTTACAGTATGTGATGCTCATCATGTCCCGCCGTCAGTGTGCTGGCTCATTCCGGCCCCCCTCACCCCCGAGAGGTGGGGAGCTTTCCCCATTTTATGAACACGCTGAGGCACAGGGGTTAGAGTAGGTTGCAGCCTTAACCCCCCACACACACACACTCCCCCAGCTCCAGCATGTTTTCAGATCTCGTGTTTCCTTTGGCCTGGTCAGTCCCTTCTGCTGCCCTGGTCCTCTGTCCCTTGTTCCCACCTGCCCACCTGAGTCCAGGCTGGGCCCTCGGGGAGCCACTCTGGCAGCTGCTCTTCTTTTTCAGGATTGTGGCTGCTCGGCTCAATGGTTCTCTGGACTTCTTCTCCTTGGAGACCCACACTGCCCTCAGCCCCCTGCAGTTCAGAGGTCAGAGGGCTAGGGTGGGCAGACGCACACGGTGGGTGGAGTGCAGGGGCTGCCTGCCAGGTGCCTTCTCAGCCATCCCTCCTCTGCCCCAGGGACTCCAGGGCGGGGCAGTGCCCCCGCGTCTCCTGTGTACAGCACCAGTGACACAGTGGCCTGTCGCCAGACCCACACGGTGCCCTGTGCACACCAGAAACCCATCACTGCCCTAAAGGCTGCTGCTGGGCGCCTGGTGACTGGGAGCCAGGACCACACACTGAGAGTGAGTACTGGCCCAGGTGGCCTGCCCAGGGGTGGCGGGCCTGGCAGAGTCCTGGGTGAGAGGGGGAAGGGCTTCCAGGCGCACAG